CCCGCTGCTCCCAGACCCACAGGCGAAGGACTGGAGCCCCAGAACAGGGCTAAGCCTGGGTGGGGCAAAACAGGCTTCCTGGACATTGAGACCCAGCCTCAAAGCCAGCCACCCCTTCTCACCCCTTCTCGGCCTCCCTGCCCAAGCACGAGAATGTGGGCTCTGGGATCCTAGAGCTATGGAATGTGATGGAAGCCAAGGGCTCTGGAACGGGTCACAATGAATAGCAGGGCACCTCACATACCGTGGGCCCCGGGCCTGGGCCTCCAGGGTGTCTGATGCCCCTTCTAGTGAGCTCTGCAGGGCTTGCAGCTGGCTCACCGTCTCCCGCAGGAGGAAGCGGGTCACGAACTGGTCCATCTTGGAGGCCCGCTCATACTCCTGGGGGCAGAGGAGACATGTCAGCATTTCCTGGTTTCAAGCATATATTTCTAAACAGGGAGCCACTACCCTCCTCCCCTACCCTCACCCTTCAAAGCAACAGAGGCAGCATGAAGCGCAGAGAGCAAGCACCCTGAGCAGGACAGTGCTGGGAGCGGGAGCAGGGCCTGGACCCTCCTCGGCTGGGCCTGGCCTTGCCTTCCTGGAAGGTGTTGGGCCAACTGACAGGTGACAGGGAGGCACCTGCCATTTTCTGGGCTATAGGCCTCTTCCCCGTTGGAACCACCACCTTCAGCCAGTGTGGCCCCAGGCACAGCTAGGCGGGTCGGGGGTATGGCAGGTCCCAGGGCATCCAAAGGCCAGTTTTGACACATGAGGCAAAATGATGGTGTGATGTAGCCCCATATTCAGCAGCTGGCCCAACACTCGTAATCTATGCGTGCATTCATTCACTCATCCACGCAACAAACATTTACCTTTCCTAGGAGCCGCAGGTACAAGACAGCCAGCCAGGTCACTGTCCTTACACACACCAGCACTGATCCCTACATCACTAGCCTCCACTCAGCCCCTCCCAACGTGGGCAGAGAGATAAGGCCAGGGGCAACTGGGTGGCTCAGTGAGTTAAGCCTCTGCCTTCGGCTTGGGTCATGATCTCAGGGTCCTGGGATCCAGCCCCGCATCGGGCTCTCTGCTCAGCGGGGAGCCTGCTTCCTCCCTCTCTCTCTGCCTGCTTCTGATCTCTGTCTGTCAAAATAATAAAACTTTAAAAAAAAAAAAGAAAGAAAGATAAGGCCAACATGTGCCAGGCCCTATGCTGCTCATGTGGGATGCTCAGAGACTCTCTAACTACCTTCTCCTCCTTGTGCCTCAGTTTCCTCACCTAAAAAACAGGGATGATAACAGCCATCTCACTGAGCTGCTGAAAAACTTCAGTGAGCTAATTCCTACAAAGGACACAGACCAGGATGGGAGTCCGGAGGAGCCATGGTCTGGCCAGGCAGGGGCATGCCTACCCTCCAGGAGGGGCTCCAGAGGCACCATCCATGGGGGGCTGCTTCTATCCAGGACCTGCTTTAGCTCAGTCATCAGATGAGCCCTGCTGGGTCAGGCTTATGAGCTGGGAGGCAGGAACAGAATGGGAGCTGAGGCCTCTCACTCTTAGGCCAATGGCTTCTATCCTGTCTCTCCAAGCCTGGTCTGTAGACTTCAGCCATGCTCTGAGCTCCCTGAAATCCTTCCAATAAATTCCCTTTTAAGCACTTAAGATGATTGATCAGTCTCTGTTACTTGCAGCCATAAAACCCGGCTACCATAACAGTACCCACTCTCTCCAGGCCCCGTTCCAAGCAGAATTTCATTTAATCCTCATAGTAACTTAACAGGAACCATCATTGACCCCATTTTGCAGATGAGAAGACTAAGGCCTAGCACAGTTGATTACCTTGGCTAAGATCAGACAACTGATCATGGGAGAGTCAGAATGCAAACCAGGCCACGAAAATTCCTCTCTACTCAACACCAAGCACCTCACAAGCATTGCCTCATTTGTGATTATTAGCCCAGTTTTACAGCTGAGAAACCAAAGCCACAAATCACAGACTGAACAGAGCCAAGATGTGGGTTCTGGGAGGAGGAGCTTAGAGTCCAGAGCTGGTGAGGTTGACCCATGAGGTCACAATGTGGTCTCCACGGGACAGAGCAGGGGCAGGGTCCCCCTCCCAGCCAGAAGGCAGCGCAGAAGCAGCATGGGCTGTGGCCCCCAGTGGTGACCAGCCCTGCCATGGGAAACAACAGTTCTCACAAGAGGACCAAAGTGCCCAAGCAGGCCCGTAAGGAGAGGCCGCCCGACATGGACAAGGCTGGGCGGAAACAGCAGCTCTTCAGCCACCTCAAGCAGAATAAGCCAAGTGTGAGTGCCAGGGTGCCGGGGGTAGGTGGGAGTCAGGGGTACTTGAACTGGTGGGAATGTTGGGAGTCTAGGCCTTGTGGGTGTTAAGTCCAAGGGCTTGGATAACCCCTCCTGAGGACAGACATGGGTGTGGTGGGGTCCTAAAAGCCCAGAAGGGAGGGCAAAGGATTCAAGAAACCAGGAGACTTGGGAGTCCAGGAGGGTGGTCAGGAAGGGATTCTCCCAACCCCAACAGATGGGCGGAGGGCTCGGCATGGGGCATCAGCCCTAGTTGGTACCGCAGAGGCTATGGGCACAGGGTGTCTCTTATGCCCTCTTTCCAGCTCCCAGCCTCAAAACGTGCTATTTTTCTGAGGTGGGTTAGAGTAAACGTCGATGGTGCAAGGTCTCGGGAGGTCAGCCTCCGGTGGGTAAGGGTTTCCAGAGGGAAGGTGGAGGTCCTGGGCGATGGGACAAGGGTGAGAGCCGGGACGGAAGTCCTGGAAACGTAAAGGGAACAGAGTCCTGGGAGACAGGACCTGGTGGGTGAGGATCCTGAGCAAGCCGACACCGTGCGTGCTTCCCCCTCACGCTCCCACCCCACCCCCCAGGCCAAGATCGTGCTGCTTTTCCCCTTGGACAAGCGGCAGCAGCTAGCCGAGGTGGTGGCGGGCCCGGGCGCACGGCCTCGGCGGCCAGGCGAAGATGCGACGGGCGCCCCGGTGGGCTCCCCCGCGGCGGCGGCTGCGCCCATGCTGCGAGGAGCGGGCGACGGCGTTGATCGGCGCGAGGGCGCAAGGGCGAGAGAGATGAAGAAGATCTTGGTCCTGCTGCTGTTGCTGGACGCGCGGCTGCAGGAGGAGGGGCGCTGCGCGGCTGGCGCGCCCGGGGGCGGGGCCGGAGCAGGGGGCGGAGCCAAGGCGGCACAGGGCTGGCAGCGGCTGTATGCGCGTCTACTGACCGAGAGCGAGGTGGACCGCGAGGCCAAGCCCACCGAGGAGCAGCCGCGCAAGCGGCGCCGCTGCCCTCGCCCGCGACCCTGAGTGCCCGGCCCGGCCCCCGGCCCCTGGCCCAATAAAGAGCACATAGCAACCCTGACGCCAGCTAGCTCTGTCCTAGGTGGCGCGACACGGAGCTGGGAAACTGAGGCTCAGAGTGAGACAGGGATGAAACAGAAGTACTGGTGGCTGAGCAAAGGCCACGGCCTGGAGCCAAACTGTGCCTTCTCCTTGTGACCCAAGCTCCAGGCCCTGGTCAGACCCTTCCAGGTCTGAGGCCCAAGGGAGGTGAGTGTGGGCAAACCCCGGCTTGGCCAAGCTAGGAGGAAGGACCTGCTTCCCACAGAACCCTAACATCTCCATCCTCAACCTTCACAAGTCCTTCTTAAGCACGGGGAGGAGTCCAGGCGAACAGCCACCACCCTGGAAAGAACTGTGAAGGCCCCACAATCAGCAGGGCTGGGGCCTGGGACTCACAGTCTGCCTGTGAGAGCACTCAGGAGGAGAGGCTGGGGTCTGTGGGCCTCTAATCCCTCAATCCCACCCCACTTCGCTTGGTAGTAACCCTCAAATCACCTCAGTCACTTGTCTCCCAGCCTATCCTGTGCCATCCCTTTGCCCACACTGCAGCCAGAGACTTATTCCAAACCACTTAGCTAGCTGTAGCACAGTTCATGCTCCTCATAAACTCCCACTGATTCTCCATGGCCCACGGGGAAATGTCCAAACTTACTGATGTCATATGCAGGCCCAGCCCACCCAGCCTCAGTCTCTCCTGCTAGAGCTTCTCAGTGACTCCTATCCTCACCACTGCTCTGGCCATGTTGCCACTGTGGTCTCCAATGCAAGGTTACCTCCCTATTCACTCAGGAGAGGCCTGGCATACTTTCTGAGAAACACCCAGCTGTTTGTTCTCATTCTCCTGGGTCCGAAACCCAGCTCCAGAGCTGAGTGCTGCCCCAGCTCTATCGAACCTGTAGCCAGTCTTCCACTCAGGACCACCTCAGAAGGTTCCAAAGGGGGCAGAGGCAGCCGGGGTGAAGGTCCCACCTTATTGCAGACATAGGCCCAGCTTTTGCTCAAGATGCACTTTCGTTAGTGTCAACACAATCAACATCCCTTTCTTATCCCCTCCATCAGGCTGGAGGTTGCATACCCACAGCGACCCATAGCGTCTCTCCAAAGCCTTGTTAAAACAGACCCTTTCCTACCACCCATGTGGTTACAATCATGGTAACCATGTTCCTCAATGTGGCCACACACCCTGGGCCATATATGATTGGCTCAGGCTGGTCCTATCAGCTTCTTCCCTGGGACTGTAACTCAGGAACTGTGAGAGATGTTCGTACATCACCATGCATGGGCTTAAGCCAGTCTTAAGAATAAAAAAAAAAACAATGCAGAGACGGTACACATCCTGCAGTCAGGCCCTACTTCGTCTGTTCCTGAAACCTGATTTCATCTTTGCAGTACCCATAAGACATACAGGATCCTTGTAATAAAATCCCTATTTTAGCTTAAGTTCTCCTGAGTAGGTCTTCTACTTGCCACCAAAAGGGCCCTAAAGAGAACAGACTCTGCAGAGATAAGATGTGGCCTTTTCCTGTGGGAGAATTAGAACTACCATTTGGTGGAATAATTTGAGCCCAGAGGGAGATGAGGACTTGCTCAGGGGCACACAATGAGTCATCAGAACTGAATCACAAACTCAGGTCCACAAGAGTCCACACATGGATGCCTCTGAAGGTAGGGTCCCCATGTGGGCTGCCTGGACCCCCCCCAGGGCTGAGCGCATTGAGGTCCTCAGAGTGACTGTACATCTGTGATTAAGAGCTTTCTCATCAGATTGGTTGTGCTGAGCAGCTGAGGCCAGATCCCCCAATCTCAAAATCACTGCTCTTTGCCTTGTCCCAGGAGAGTGGATGTGTCCAGGCAGTTGTCATGGGTGGAGGGCTGGGGAAGCACATCAGGTGCTGAGGACTGAGGTCACAATGAGTCCAAGTTCTTTTCCCCCCTCCTCTGACCACCCCCTCCCACCTCCACAACCAGGAAAGACTTAAGTCAAGGCCAAGAGAGGCGCGCCAGGAGACCACCTGGGGCTCAAGGACTGGGCTGGTCTCCTGGGTCCCCAAGGCAGGATTATATGTCCGGGGAACATTGCCACAAGGCCCCTTCACTGTTAGAGTTCTGTGGCTCCCGGTGGCGGCGGCCTATTTAGGATTCGATGTTTCCCTCTCATCATCCACCTCTGCCAGGGCTGAGTGAGCTGTCCGCGTAGCAGAGGTGAGTCCTCAGAGAGGTGAGTCTGGTGCAAGCTGGAGCCTGAAGCCACGGAGGGCAAAGGTGGTCCGAAGGGGGCCGAAGCCCGGCGAGAGCGGAGACTGACCCTCGAACCAGAGGCGGGGCCTTGGGCCTGTGGGTGGAGCCAAGAGCTGAAAAAGGACGTCCAGTCTAGCCGGAAGAGTGGAAGCTCAGGACCAGAGGCTGCAGCCGGGAACTGAGAGCGCTGATTCTGCAGCCAAAACGGTGGGGACTTACGCCTGCGGCCGGAGCGAAGAGCTGAAAGACCGGTGTCCAGTGAGGCCGGCAGAGGCGGAGCCTCAGGCAGGGGGCGGGACTGAGCCTCCAGGGGCGGGGCCTCTGACCAAGGGTGGGGCCGAGCCCGGAAAGCCACGGTGGCGTCGGTGGCATCGGCGTCCGGAAGCAGGCGGGTCCGTCGGCCGCCCTCGCTGGGCCGCGTGGCGGTGGTGATAGACCCGGGCTCGGGCTTCATCAAGGCGGGCTTCGCGGGTGAGCACCAGCCGCGCCTGGTGCTGAAGAGCTCCAGCTGGGACCGGCCCTTGCTGCCCGCTGTGCTGGGCTGCGAGTGGATGGGTGGTGTGACGCGGGCGCACCCCATCAAGCACGGCTTGGTAGTGGACTGGGAGGCGCTGGAGGGGCTTTGGGAGCGCCTGCTGGTGGGTGGCCTGCGGGTGTGCCCAGAGCAGTGGCCCGTGCTAGTGAGTGATTCGCCGTCAGCGCCGCCCGTGGGCCGCGAGAGGATAGCCGAGCTGCTGTTCGAGGCCTTGGCAGTGCCCGCGTGCCACATGGCCAGCACAGCATTGCTGGCGCTCTGCTCCACCGGCGCGTTCAGCGGGCTGGCGGTGGAGGCAGGCGCGGGCGTGTGCCACGCCACACCCATCTATGCTGGACACTCTTGGCACGAGGCCACGTTCCGGCTGGACGTGGCAGGCAGCACCCTGTCACGCTACTTGCGGGACCTGCTGGAGGCAGCATGCCCCCACCTACAGCTGCGGTCCCTGCCCCGAAAGGCCATCACACAGCTCAAGAAACGCTGCTGTTATGTGTCGCTGGACTTTGAGGGTGACCTTCGTAACCAAGACCGCCAGCATCCGGTCAGTGTCTGCTTAGGCAACGGCTCCTGTGTCTGTCTCAGCAGCGAGCGCTTCCGCTGCCCAGAGCCCATTTTCCAGCCAAGTCTACTAGGCCAGGCCAAGCCAGGACTGCCTGCACTGGTCTTCCGGGCGCTGCAGAAGGTTCCCATAACACTACGGAAGCGGCTGGCTGATACCGTGGTGCTGGCCGGTGGCTCCACACTTTTCCCTGGCTTCACTGAGCGCCTGGAAATGGAGCTGGAGGCGCAGTGCCGGAGGCACGGCTATGGGGCCCTGAGGCCTTGCTTGGTGGCCAAGCCTGGGCGTGGCACAGCAGTATGGACCGGTGGCTCCATGGTAGCCTCTTTGCACTCCTTCCAATGTCGCTGGATAACCCGGGCCATGTACCAGGAGTGTGGCTCCAGGCTGGTGCACAAAGTGTTCAACTGAGTCACTGGAGGGGAGGTGCCACATGAGGGGCAGCAGGGGCAGAGGCTTGGCGGGCTGAGCTATCAGAGGCATTGAGTTCCAGATTAAAGTCTCAAGTGATCGGAGCTGGCAGAGTCATCATGTGCTGACGGGTCGCCCCTAATCCCTACTGAGCCAGCAGGAGGTGGTCTGGACCCCTAGGATCCTCACTTCAACCTGCAGTTTCAACCCTAACCAGTGCCAGTTCAGGGAATACCCATCAGGTGCCTACTCCCAGGGCACGGTTTCCATGGCAACAGGAAGGCAACACTCCCACCTGTGTCCAGGCCACAGATACGGAAATTATTACAAGTCAACCCCTCACCCTGTACCATTTGGATTCCCATCCTATGCCAAGCCTCAAGGGGTGACCCTTTGAAAACTGACAAAATCCCATGTGGAAGCAACCAGAAAAGGAAGCCCTGTCTTCAGCTGATCATTGACTCACTGAGGGCCTCAGTTTCCCCTTCTGTAAAAAGTGGGGTCAAGCACAATCCTGGATCTTCTCCATCTTCCCTCCCTGCCTTGTAATTAGGAGCCACAGGACAAAGGGGGTGGAGACATTTCTTAAAGGAAACACACAAAGGGAGGGGTGGTTTGTGTTTTCAAAGTCACTACCCAAGAGCTGAGAGCCCCGGCTGTGAGCACTGTTAGTGCTTATACGCACATGTGGCCACACATGCAAACAGATACACATGCACACCTGGGTGCACACATGCCAGCCTTACCCGTGTCCTTGGGTCAGGCCCTGCCCCCTCCCCAGGTTCCACACACCAGCACGGCCCGTGACCGTATGCGCACATGCCCCACTTCCCACCCCATCCCTGCTGGGTGCTGGGCTCAATACCCCCACAGCGGTGGGTCTCGCCTGTGACCGAAACAGCGGCAGCAGCTCTGGGTATTAAGCGGCTGCTGTGTGTCAGGCACAGTTCTGGGTGCTGGCAACAGAGTAGACAATGAGAAAGACAAAAATCCCTGCCTTCCCTCTCATTTCATTGTCCCACCAAATGCATGGAGGTAAGCTCTCTTACGATCCCCAATCTATAGATAAGAAAACTTGGGCCCAGAGAGATACAGATACACAGCTAGAGAGTGAGAGAGGCACGATTTGAACCCAAGCCTCCAGCTTCACAGCCCGGAGCCGTGACCGTGGAGGCTGGCCCAGCACAGCAGACATGCCTGCCCTCATTCCCAGCCTTCCAGCGTCAAGCCCTCCACTCACCAGCTTGGTGCTGTCCATGGCAGTGAGCACCGCACAGTTCAGCGACTCCAGGGCAGCCAGCACGGGCCGGTAGACCCCCAGGTGTTCTGAGAAATAGTCTGCGGGCAGAGGAGGTGCTCAAGGGTTCCCGGACCACCCCCCACCTGCTCCGTGACCTCATTTACCCAGCCTGGAATTCCTCCACAGCCAACCAGGCCTCGTATCCTGAGCCAAGCCCATCCTGTTCCATTAGGAGAGGAGGCGGCCTCTCCTCACGCCCACCTGCCCAGGGGTCCCAGGAGACCGGAGCTCCCGTGGGCCTACTCACCACACAGTGTCTCTGTTTCCAAATTGCTGTGGGAAAAAGAGAAGGCACACTTCAGTCCCACAGACGTAAGCCTGTGACCTGGGACTTGGAAGCCAGCGTTCCTCCCACTGCCCGCCCAGCTCAGCCTGATGGGGAGGGGACTTCTGCCTCTACCCCAGGTGAAGCTGCTCAGTGCACTGAGAGGGACAACAGGGCTACTACTGAGGACAAAAACTCAGACCCACTCTTGGCTTCCAAGGGGCTTTCAGGCCCAGGGAAAGAAATGTGGACACAGGCCAGAGAGGAAGGGTCAGAGCCGGGAAGGGGAAGCCAGGTCTGAGGAAGTCCGGAGAAAACAACGGGGTATTACTTGGTAGGTCAGGGAGGGCTTCCAGGAGAAAGCTACTTTAGTTAGGCCTTGAAGGACAAGCAATTTGACTGAAGCTTCTGGTGGTGGGGAGGTAGTGACAATGCAGACCAAGTTCAGGCCCAGCTCAGGCTTTAGGCTAGGGAAGGGCATGGCAGCCTTGAAGCCTGATCCAGAGTCTGGAATTTATTCTAAGGAGATGTGGGGGGAGAGGGAGGGACAGCTGTGCATCCAGGTGCTCGCCTGTAAGGCAGCACGGGGAGGATAGCGTGCCACTGCTACTAAGGCCTGCAGATGTGGGAACATGGGGAGGTAAGTGCGGGCTCGTGCCCTTGCATCCATGGGTGGAAGCTGGCAGGGCCCAGCTAGCCTCAGGCACCCTCTGATCCCTGTAGGAAGAGGGAATGGGGTGGGGGGGGACACCTGTGGGCTGAACCACGGGTGGTGACTCAGACCTGGCTATTTTGGGGTCCCAGCTGGAAAGAGTGTGATGGACAAGACTGGAGCCAGGGAGGGGGGGTGAGTGGGCGGGTAAAGTTGGCATCGGGCCCTGGCACCTCTCTCCCTACGCAACCCCCCATCCTCCATAAGGAATGAAGGCAGCAGGGGACACAGTGGGGCTGGGATAACCTAGCCTCACATCTACCCACAGCTCACCCACCCCCGCTCGTACATACTTGGTGGAGTGCCCGTCGATGCCGTTGAACAGCTCCCGCAGCTCCCCAGGGCTGAGAACCCCATCAGCAAAGTAATTCTGGAATTCCTCAAATGAGAGCTTACCATCATCTGGGGGGGGGGTGGCAGGGAGCAGAGCTGGTATCCCTGACCCCTGCCACCAGATTCAGACCCCCCACCCAAGGACTACTCAGCCAGGTGGAATGGAATTCTGAGCTTGGCCAGGGGACCCGGCTGTTGGAGACAAAAAGGTCCTCGGAGGTGCCCACTCAAGGCAACAGGGCCCACACTGCAGGCACCCAAGGGACAGGGCAGCACACATGTGGCATTACAAAGGGACTCAATACATGTTTGCCAAACGGAGAACCAAATGAACAGCCAGATCATGGGGGCAGGACCTGGACATCACTGGGAGGAGTTGGGGGCTGAGTCTGCTCTGGACCCACGCCCTTCACAGAGAAGCCACTGGGAGGCAGATGAGATCTTCCTGAGAGCGGGAGCCCCTGCCGGTGGCAGCCGCAGCTTAGAAGGGAAGGACCCCTCTCTGCAGGGGCCACGTCACAGTCTAAGTGCACCAGGGGGATGGCCAGAGACCCTGGGGATCTGGCCTGTAAGGTCTGTAAGCAGATGGAGCTGGGGGAGCAGAGTGGGGGGACGGTCCGAGCCTCCCCAGACGGAATGCTGTGAGCCAAATGAGACCAAGCGTCCTGATCAGTAGGTTGGGACACGATCCTCTCTCTAGGAGGCATAAACACAAAGGGTCTGAAGCCCCCAGACGGAAGTGAGGCCGAGGCTGACTGGCTTCCTCGGCTCAGACGCTCAGCTGGCCAGTCAGGGCATAGCGGGCTGCTCCAAGTCACCTGTGGGCAGCGACTTGCTTGCGGGTTCCCTTGAGGGCTCCTGCTTTAGCTTTCAAGGTTTTCCCAGACATGGGTCTGAGACAACCCAAGACCCAGGGCAGGGGAAGCTGATTCCTTGGACCCAGCACCATCCTGTGCCAGCCTTCCCTGGGTCCAGGTGGTTGGTCACACAGAAATTTCCTGAGCCCTCTAAAGATTTAGGGCCTCCTCTCCATCACCCCACCTTTCCAAGCCCCTTACACAGGGAGCCTGGGATGAAGCATCACACAGACCCGGGTTCAGGGCCCACCACTTAAAAGGCTGTGTGACTTTAGGCAACCCGCTTCACCTCTCTGGGCTTCTGCTCCTTCATCTGTGAAGTGGGGTGAACAACTCCCAGCTAGCTGGCAATTGTGAGGACAACATGAAGTCACACGGAAGAGTTACCCATAATTGTGCCAGGGCAGTGTGTGAGAGTACGCCCCCCACCTCCAGCCTCTGAAGAAACCGCATTCCCTCCACTCTCCACACTGCCAAGCTCAACTCCAAACAACCGTCCCTCTGGGAAGGATGCCTTGAGTGGTTTTCCTAATTTGGGTTCCCCAAGATTGTTCTCCATTCTAGACTGTTCCCCCAAGCCCCACATTTCCCTAAGCCCCCCTGATGTCTCCCACCTCTGTGGACCCAGGGGAAGCCACACTCACCATTCTTATCTGCTCTGCGGAAAACCTAGAGGACAAAGGGGCAGAGAAGGGAACTCTAAGCGCTGTCTGGGAGGAGAGAGGCCCCCGCCCAACTCATCAGAGCCCCAGCTGGCCAGGCTGCCCCCACCTCGCCTTTCCTCCTGCCCAGATGAGCCCTGCAGGAGGTTTTCCAACAAGGGGGGCACAGGAAGATCACACAGCCGGACCCACCACTTGCTCACTTCTCCTTCGGGGGCTGGCCTCATGGCGGGTGCTCCAGGCGAGTTTCCGGCACCCCCACCTCCCACACCTAGAGTCTATGCTGGATTCTGTCTGATGCACCAGCCCTTGGCACGGTCCCCTTGAGGAAGGAGGGGAGATGGGCCAAGTTCCTGGGCCCTTGTCCCTGATCTGAACCTCCCTCCACAACTCTGCAGCATGGCCACGATCCATCCCAGACTCTGCCTACTCAAGGCTGTTTCCCTGGGTGCCTGTTTAAGACCCTGATACGTGGGCAGTGGCTAGTCCTTTCTTTGTGGGTGCCTGGGGCTAACCCTTCCAGGGCTGGGGCTTCCTATGAGTCTGACTCAGTGTGAAGGCCTTGGGTAGGCATGCGTATATGTGCAGGCGTGCCTGTGTGTGTACGCACGTGTGCAGGGGGGAGTGAATGGCAGAAAGCAAGGGTAGACAGATCGTATTTACAGAGAAGCAGAGATGAAGGGCAACAGACGCAGACAGGAGCAGAGTCAAGACATGTTCAGGGACCAGAGACTCCCAAGTCACCCAAAGCAGCCCAGCAAATAGACTGGCACACCTGGCAAGGAGGGGCAGGGAAAGTCTGGACAGAGAACCCCTGTCAAGTCCAGGTCCTGAATGCCAGTCCTCTCCAGCCATTTTCTCTGGGTCAGTGAAGGACGGGCATGACTCTAACCCCCCGGCCAGAAACCTGACTCACACAAAGCCTGCCACTGGCTCAGGGTCACACAGCGCCCAGGGTGGCCTGACTGGGGCAGATGGAGATGGTGGGGCGGAGTGCGACACTGAGGACATCTGGGGCCACACCCTAGCATGCATCTGCCTCCCTGTGTGATCGTGGACATATTCCTAACTCCTCAGGCCTTAGTTTTTCCATCTGGGAAGCGGGACAGACAGGTCCCTTCCACCCAGGAAGACTGTGGTCATGGTGCTGAGTCACTAGGGACAGCAGGGAAGGGACACGAGTACAGTCTTCCCCACAGGCAGAGACCTCTTAAAGTCAGGGCATGAGTGCGCCCAGATGGGGCTGAGCACTAGGGTGAAAGGGGGATATGGGGCTCAGTGCTGGGACCCAGGCTGGCGGGGCTCCTCCATGTTGGTGCCCCCAGGGGGCTGCAGACCCACCTGCCACCCACTGGAGGGATGTAAAACCGCTGTGGGAAATCCTGACCCACCGTGGGACCCCACAGCCCCCGGGGTCAGATCTGAGGGACTCGGGATCAGCACTAGGTCAGAAGTCAGGACGCTGTTTATTCTTCCAGGCTCCCCTTCCTGGGTCAGCCCAGCCCAGGGTTGCCACAGAGGGGACTGCTCCTGTGATCAAGTGTTGACCGTCCCCACTGCATCAGACACACGGATGGGGTGGACTTGGGTGTGGTGTGGGGGCAACAGGGGCTGTGACACTGAACCAGGAGACAAGGAGAGATGAGGAGAGAAACAGAACAGACACAATGGAAACAATGAGGGAGAACGGAGACAGCGGGGTCAGAGAGAGACAGCGAGAAGCAGAGACAGAAGAAGGGGCCCAAACAGCAGGGAAGGAGAGAAACGCACAGAGACGCAGAGCAGGGGGCTGCGGGGGGCGGGGGGGACGACGACATAGAGAGCCAGCGAGACACGGGGGGAGAGGGGACAGAGCTGGAGAGACGATGACAAGCCCAGGGCCAGAAGGCCCGCGCCCCACTCACGTCCTGGAAGAGCGCGTGTCCGGTGGGCCCGGCGGAGGCAGGGGGCGCCGGGGGCCGCCGGGGCTCGGGCGCGGGCGGCCGGATCAGGCACACGGTGAGCAGCCCCGCGCACGCCATAGCGCCGCCACCCACTCGCTCCGGCTCGGGCTCGGCTGCGGCTCCCGTTTCTGGACGCTGCCGCCGCCGCCGCCGCCGCCTTGGACTTGGGGGGCCGCCCGCCCATTGGCGCCGGCGCGGACGCCGAGGGCCCCGCCCCCCCCCGCCCCCCCCCCCCCCCCCCGCTTTCCCTACTGGAAAAGCCAACTCCAGTCTTCAGGAGGGCAAGAGCCACACGCACGTAGTAGTGTAACTCCCAAACTCCCAACACCGCTCCCCTCGGCGGTTGTTACCAGAGCCTCCAGGAGGGTGGGCAACTGCAGAGTCTGGAACCACCCAAGGGGTTATTCCCAGCTTGGACTGGTCATGGGTGCGCCTGGCGGCTTGGGAGTACTACACAGCTGGGAACAGAAGGGCGGGGGTCACACCACGTGCCCACTAAGGGCAGGTCCCAGCCACTGTAGGGTCAGCAGAGTAAACTGCGGTACAATGGAGTGACACCCTGCGGGTGAGATCTGAAAGGGACTTCACTTCTGGGCGTCTCTATCGTTTTCTGCACAATGGGGGTAAATCATAGAGGCCATAAGGGATTATTGTGGGGACTCACCTACTGACTGTAAAGGGCTTAAAATAGGAACTGGCTCAGAGAAAGCTCACCTAGGGGCTAAACAGGTCAGTGTGGACTGGCTCCCAACCCCCCCTCCCCTCCGCTTTCAAACTCAGTTCAGCCATCTTTCCCCTCCCCTCTGCCATTCTGGCCCTTCTTCATCTTCCACACAGCCCCCAAAGGGAACTTTCAAAATAAAAAAACAGGATTATGTCATTGCTATCTCAGACTCACCAGTGAGTCTGAACTTCTCTCCACTCTGGCCCTCACCCCAGGACTCCAAACAGGCTTCTCTCAGGTCCTCTGTTCCCTGCTCCCTCCTGCCCCAGGGCCTTTGCCCACACTGCCCTGTCTGCTAGGTGTGTTCATATTTTCCTCCTCCGTTAACTCTATCCCACAGCTCTCAGCTCAAGCACCACCCCTTACAGGAAGCCCTCTGATTTTCTCATTTGTCTAATAAGTCTCCTCCGGCCAAGGCTGAGAGCCCCAGGAGAGAACATGTGTACTCAGAACCTAAAAGAACCTGACACAGAATCGTGCTGTTGTAATTGTTTGTTGCAGGTTTACAAATGCCCAGAAACATCTGGAAGGAACACAGCATTCAGAGTGGCCTCTCTGGCCACTTTGGGAGAGGAGAGGAGTTCACTTACTACTGCACTGAATCAGTTTTTAAGTTAGGACAAAAATAGTGAGGAAGCCTACCTTTCTTGTGGCTAGGAGGCTCAAATTAAGTGACACCAACCAGGGGCTGGGAGAGGGGAAGTAGACAAGGGGCATTTCCCCAGCAACCCAGACCTCTCCCACCCCCACGTCTGCTCCCAGTACATAGTCCCAAAACCCAGCCCAAACACCATCAAAATATTTATTAAAACCAAAGCAGGAGGGAACAGAGCGGTTAGGAAGGCAAATCAAAGTGCAGATTGGAGGGGGGGGGCAGAGCAACAAGTGGGGCAGAGGGGCCCCTGTGGTCTGGGCTAATGGCACCCTTCACCCACCCCTTCTGCCCACCCTGTCAGTGAAGGTCCCCCACTCACCCTTCCCATCTCACATCCATCCTGGGGGGAAGGTGGGGCCCTGCAGTGACCCCCTGGGGAGGGACCACCCCCTTGATCCACCCATGGCTGTCAGTCAGTCAGTCTGTCTCCCTCCCTCACTTTCCCAATAAATAAACCGCTCGGGCCTCAGCTCCTTCGGAGTAGGGCAAAGAACAGCTCAGGGACCCCTGCCCCGTTCAGGGGTATAAGGAGTTGGGGCATCGGTCCCACATCCCTCCTACCCTTTGCTGGTGCCCCAAGCTTGCCAAAGAGGCCTTGATAAATAAATAACGCTCCATTAAAGCTTCAATCAGAAAAACCTTTAAGACGACAGAAGTGCTCTTGCTGTCCTGCAAACAAGCAAGCCAAGGCCTCGCCACCTGGCCTGGTCAGCACGCAGGATTCTGGGGGCAGGTGGCCACCCTGGGCCTCGTGGGGCCCCTGGAGCAAGGAGACCAAAAGTGCAGTTAGAGCCCCCACCACGCGCACACATGGACTCATGCACACACACGTGGACACACTGGGGCGTGTTTTCAGTGCACGCACAGATGTGTTCACCTTCATTCCCCGGTACACGCACACACACATGCTCACACACCACTCACCCCGTGGACACACATGTTGGGTGCCGGGTGCATGCACATACACACCACAAACAGAATCCTTCCCTTCCTGGCTTGCTCAGCCTCCTGGCAGTAGCCAGACTCCAGAGCTAGAAGCTTCTGGAGATAGGGGAGAGGGGTATAAATTAAACGTTTCCAATCGGGATGGGAGGACGGCCAGGGGCAGGGGGCTCCAGGACTGCAAAGACAGGGTGGGCATCTCCGGAGGCCCTGGTCCCCCCGAGCCCCGTCAGAAATCCAGAGGGGTAAGGTCCCCAAAGTCACAGTCGAAGAGGTCTCTGATGCCCTCACCCTCCTCAAGGCCAAAGTGGTAGTCGAGGGCCTCATGGGGGGGGGACAGGCTGATGAACTCCTCAGGGAGGAGGCCGGAGAAGTCCTCCCGCACATGTTCCAGGAGAGAGTCGGCCGCCACCAGCGGGGACAGGCGGTCCTCGTCCACAGGGGCCCGCAGGCCGCCCATCCGGGAAAGCAGAGGTTCTGGGGAGATGGGGGAGCATCACAGGCCGGGGACGGCCCGCAGGGAGGGCAGAGGGGGCTATCGTGCCTGCCCACCCCACTGGGAGGGGGACACTGACCCACCGCACCCACCCACCCTTCACCCACCTTGCTCCAGGCTGAGCAGGGACTGGCTGGGATCCGCAGCAGGGGACGAGGGGGGAGATGATGGCGGTGGCACTGTGGTGGCAGGGTCAACTGCCCTGTCCTCCTCCCCAGAGGCTGTCCCCTGGGATGGGGTCTTCCCAGGGCTGATCCCGCCTGCACTCTCCTCAGGGCACAGGAAAACATCAATGGGGCCTTGTTTGCTCTTAAGGGAGATCTGAAAGGTCTGGGTGGAGGCAGCAGGCAGGGTGAATGGAGGCTCAGCGGACCACCAACCCCGCCCAGCCTGTCCTGGGCAGGTCTGGAGTCCTGGGTCTCACCTCTGAGGAGTCTACGGCTTGGAGCTGGGTCTCAGGAGGGGCCTTGATCACCATGACCATCTGCTCTGCAGGGTCTGCAATACTACGAAGGTCCTGGCAGGTCACGTAGGCCAGGGTTGGTGGAGTCAAGGACCACATGACCTTTGACCTCTGGCTCACCCACCCAGAGAGTTCGTAAGAACCCATACCTATTTAGTCTGTCCTGTCCTCTTCATACCCCACCCCAGGGCCTGGCACACAGTTGGTGCTTGAGTCTGTCTCACACCCTTGAGCCTCAGTTTCCACATCTGTACAATGACATCATTCCACCCACCTAATCCCAAGGTAATGATGACTGCCTGCAATAATTTGATGTAGGTTACTTAACACAACTCCACGCCTGCTGCTGAGCATTTATTCTGACCCACGATCTTGGTGTCACTTGGTGGTTGTCTCTAAAACTGATAAACAGAATTTGCGGGGTGCCTAGATGGCTCAGTCAGTTAAGCCTCTGCCTTCGGCCCAGGTCATGATCTCTGGATCCTGGGATCGAGCCCCATATCGGACTCCCTGCTCAGCGGGGAGTCTGCTTTTCCCTCCCCCTGCTCTCATCCCCTCTCATGCAGATGAAGCTGAGGCTCAGAGGGGCTCTGTAACTCATCCAGCCTAACACCAAGGAAGCACTCAGCCCAGAACTGGCAACCAAAGCCAGAGCCCCTCCTGAACTCAGGGCCCAGGGCCGCACCCAACGGTCCTGCCCAGCCCCCGGCAGCTCCCCTGACAGTCCAAGGATATCGCTGGCTGTCAGCGTCCTCAGAGAGCAGCCGCAGTTGGGTGGTGCAGAGATGGATCAGATGGTCCAGCTGCCGCTCGCTCTCCTGGAGCTGCCGCAGGTCTTGGGTCAGGCCCTCCAGCCGCCCGCCGATCCCCACTGCCGCGTGGCTGCCTCTGCAGGTGGCAAAGGGAGGGTCTGCAGCTCCCAACCCGGGAGCCCTAACCCTCAGCACCCGGTCTGCTGCTGCCCATCCTGGGAGGCCCAAGCAAGCCTTCATCCCTCTCTGGGTCTGGCACCTCGGCTGGGAAACAGCAGAGAGCGGAAGCTGGCCTCCAAGTCAGCCTAGCAGGGGTCTGAATTTGGGCCTGGACGGCTGTAAATACCGACATGTCCCTTCCAGGGGGCAGGAGAGGTAGATGATGACATAGGCATGCCACGGAAAACTGTAAGAGCATATAAAAGGACGAGAACGTATCAGATGTACAGACACGGACGCACTTCCAGGACGTGTCAAGTAAAAAGAAAAGAAAAATGATGCAGAAGGGAATGATCCACCAAAAACTAAAAAAGATGTGTTCCAGAGAGGGGACTAGCACGGCCAGGGAAGGGGGTGAGGGGGGAAAAACAAAACAAGAATTAACAAGAACCAAACAGTTGTGTTAGACAATCCCACTGACGGCAAGAGAAGGCAGAACGGCCATCACCTAGGGTAGGAGGGGTGGGCAACACTGGGAAGGAGCCCAGGGAACTTTCTGTGGTGCTGGACATGTTCTTCATCCTGATCTGGACGGTGGCTCGCCAGGCGAAGAAATACAGGACGGCGCACGGGGCTGCAGGTGTAGCATCTGCGGACTTTCCTCAGGGAAGCCACCTCCCCCCCAAGCTGTGGTTTCCCCAGCTAGACACGAGGATGCGAGGATGCGGACAGCCACGGTGGTGATTGCCATCAGCTCCTGTACGCTGGCCCGGCCCCGGGCCCCAGCCTCCGCCTGCCCTCCCGAGTGGCTGGTACCTACAGCCACTGGATGTGGTTCTTGGACTTCTTGGCAATGAGCTGGATGCCCTCGAGGACATTGGTGATGTCATAGATGCGCCGTTTCTGCACCTTCAGCACCTCGGCGGCCCAGTTCAGATCAACAACGCCATCGGCTGAGCGGCTCAGCAGCTCCAGGAAGCGCTTCGTGGTCAGATTCAGCGAGGTCTCATAGCGTGACTTCTCCCCTGGGGATTTCACACCTGGGGGTCCAGGACGGAGGGCGCCCTCAGCACCACCCCCACACCCAGCCAGCGAGCCTTCCAGGCAGGGCAGGAAGATGCGGGGGATGGGCAGATGGCACCTTCCCCTTGGCGAAGCCAACAGGGAGGGCCTGGGGCTGCTGCCTGCCAACCACACAACATTCCTCTTCTGGCTGGGGAACTCCCCACCCCCCAGGGCCTGCAGAAGCCATGACAGGTGGCCACTCCAGCTGCCCCTCGGGGGCCCCCAGACCTGGCTCAGGGCCAGGCCTCACAGACCGGAGCTTACTTTGCTAGAGTGTTTGTCCGTCCACACCCCCAACTTGGGCCCTGTCAGAGGGCCTGCTGCAGCCCAAGCTCTGTGGGTACCTTTTCCTGGGTGGCGACCTCTGCCCCGGGCCGGCCCGCTGCTCTCAGCCAGGTACTGATGGTCTGTTTCCAGGTCCAACCTCCGCTTTACCTGCAGCAGAAACAATGGGAAGATGCCCAAGAATCAGGAGTGAGGCCTCAGGAGACCTGGCTCAGGGCTTGGTGCTCCTGGGCCACCTGTGCCCCACCGTGTATAGTAGGCTGCCTCAGTGTGTGAGGGTCGGGGAGATCCCAGGGGACACAATCCTACCACACGGAACAGGTCACTCAACAGGAGTTCTAGCTCTGCCACTACTTCCCTGGTGCCTGTGGTGGTTTTATTTTTTTTAAGATTTTATTTATTTATTTGAGAGAGAGAGAATGAGAGAGAAAGGGCATGAGATAGGGGAGGGTCAGAGGGAGAAGCAGACTCCCCGCCGAGCAGGGAGCCGGATGTGGGACTCGATCCTGGGAACTCCAGCACCATGACCTGAGCTAAAGGCAGTTGCCCAGCCAACTGAGCTCAGTTGGCCCCTTGTGGTAGTTTTAAAAGAGGTTTGTAGGGGCACCTGGGTGGCTCAGGCGTTAAGCGTCTGCCTTGGGTTCAGGTCATGATCCCAGGGTCCTGGGATCGAGCTCCCTGCTCAGCAGGAAGCCTGCTTCTCCCTCTCCCTCTCCCTCTGCTTGTGTTCTCTCTCTCGCTTTGTCTCTCTCTGTCAAATAAATAAAAATCTTAAAATAAAAGAGGTCAACAAATTTCTTGATACTCTTCTTTTCAAAAAAATGGGGCCTAATTCTTTTCGCCTTAAGTATGGGCCAGATCTGGTAACTTGCTTCCAAGGAGCAGTGTGATGGGGGTGATGACAAGTCGCCTCTTGGACTGGGTCAGAGACGCGCTGGAGCTTCCTTCTTCCTTCCTACATTGGACCACTCGCCCTGGGGAGAGCCGCGGCCATGTCCCACAGGCCCAAGTGGCAAGGCACTGAGGCCTCCTCCAGCAGCAGTGTGAGTCTTAGAAACAAGTCCTCCAACCTCAGATCCTGAGCCAGAAGCACTAAGCTAAGCCTCCTCTGAATTCCTGCCCCACCAAGTCTGTATGATAATGAATGTTTGTTACTGGGGTGTTTTTTAATTAAGTTTTTAATTTCAATTGTAGTATCATTAACACACAGTGTTGTATTAGTTAAGTGCTTGTTGTTTTAAGTCATCTGGCTCCAGGTCCCTTGGGCAAGTCACCTCCTCTCTGGTTTCTGTGAACATGGTGGCCGTTAGCGCTCACCACATGATTTGCACATGTTAATTCATTCTGTCCTATGGATCAGCAGCACAATAATGGCTCTGTTTCGGGGCGCCTGGGTGCCTCAGTCGGTTGGGCATTTGCCTTCAGCTTAGGTCATGATCTCAGGGTCCTGGGATAGAGCCCCGCATCGGGCTCCCTGCTCAGGGGGCGTCTGCTTCTCCCTCTCCCTCTGCTGCTCCCCCTGCTTGTGCACTCTGGTGCTCTCTCTCTGTCAAATAAATACATAAAATCTTTAAAAATAATAATAATCATGATTCCATTTTACAAATAAAGTAACTGAAGTCCAGAAAGGCCCAAGGCCAGATGGCCAGGTAGCGGCTGAGCCAGGATTCCCATCCAGAACGCTCTCGGATTTAGTCACATACACTGGAGGATGGAGATTGCCCCCAAGTCCCACAGGGATCTCAGGCCCATCCTGACTCACACCAGCCAAACCTACCCCTCCCTCACCCACAGGGTTTCCTGAGCTAGAACCTCATTAAGGCGGCCATGCCCTCATCACATCTGGATGCCAAGAAATCTCATCACCACAGTCAGTCTCCTCCCCACCTCCATCTGTCCCTTTCCAGCCTAGTACCCTCCTGCCACTTCTCCGCGTGAACTTCTGCTGAGATGAGTTTTCTCACAAACCTCTGCCTCCAAGCCTTAGCCCACGGGGCTTCCCTCCCAGAAGAGCCCTCACCTCCCTCCCTCCTCTTCACACGGATTCTTTCCACCTCTGTGGGCAAGCACCTCACCCATTACTTCGGTCCTTCTGATGCCGCAATGACCGGGCCTCTTCTCCTGCCAAAGTGTGTCAAACCCAAGCTTTGCCCACATTATCTCTTCCTACAAATTTCCGGAGACGCGTCTGTCTCACCCGGAAGACAGTGACCCCTCAGAGGCAGGCGCTGGGCCTGAATCCTCACCGTCCGCTGTGGGGCCTGGTGCTAACTAGCGTGTTTGCACGCTCGTGGGTGCCCTCGGGCATCCCGGGGGGTAGAAGCACTCACACAGGCCAAGTGCCTCTTGTGCACTGAGCTCCGCTAAAGAACAGCGTTCCCTGCTTTCAGTCATCAAACCCTCTGTCCAGACCTTGCAACAGATGCCGTGATGACCTCCCCTTCCCCGGGGGTCTGCACCTCAGAAAAATCGTTTGGTGAGAGCAAGGGCCAGGAGGTGAGCCCTAACAGGCTGGCACAGAGCCCACGTTCCTATCTGCCACGTGCCCTGCCTCCCTGCTGTCTAGTCCAGAAGCCAGCCCCCGAATGCCAGCCTTGTCCCTTGGGCCTGAACCTAGTGTGCACCTGCCAACAGCACCCCTCCTCTTCTCCCTGTTCCTCAGACCCCTGCCCACCCTGAAGCCAGGTCAGTGCCACACCCTGAAGCAAGGGCTCAAGCAGATGTCCATTTCTGCCACTGCTCTCTAGACAGCTTGGCACAGGAGCCTAAAAAGGCAGCGCTGAACTGCCTTCTCGTGATCTCTGTCAAAAAAATAAAATCTTTAAAAAAAAAAAAGAAAGGCAAAGCTGAAGACACACAGAATCCTGGCGAAAAAATCTGGACCACTCCACCAACCATCTGTGGAAGGGGAGCCCCAAAAAAGTGTGGCTCGTCTGGCCCCTGGAATACCATGTAGCTGTCAAGGCCTGAGAGAGGGTGACATAGAATCCACTCAAAGACAATGACAAGAAAAACATTGTTAGAGGGCCATGCATTGATCGGATCCCTTTTTAGATTAAAAAAAATCTCATGAAACATCTTTCTCTGGTTTAGTTTCCCATATTTCAGAATCCATTCTAGGAGTAAACTCCGGAAGGTGTGTGGGTGGGGACCACCATGGGGACTGTTATGGTATCTTATCAAGGTGGATGACCCACTGTTTATACATAGAAATAAAGGGAAAACTACAATTTCTAAAACTTAAGAAAAAGAAAACTGTCACAACCACCTAAAAAAAAAAAAAAAACAGGCTTAGGAAAAGAAAGTAGAAGGAAAAATGGATGGGTTGGCATCTAACTTTTTGGTCTCTTAACTCTTTTTGTATAGTAAATGTCTATAATATTTAACTTGTTTTTTTTTTTTTTTAAAGATTTTTTATTTATTTGACAGACAGAGATCACAAGTAGGCAGAGAGGCAGGCAGAGAGAGAGGAAGGGAAGCAGGCTTCCCGCTGAGCAGAGAGCTGGATGCGGGGCTTGATCCCAGCACCCTGGGATTCTGACCTGAGCAGAAGGCAGAGGCTTTAACCCACTGAGCCACCCAGGTGCCCCTACTTAACTTATTTTTTAACAGCCATGACAACAGGAAAGAAGTGGATGGGAAGGGCCAGAAAAAACAGCTGAATTGTATAGAAACTTGTGTATGCAAGAGGTGCTCAATGAATGCTCACTGATGCTGAAGCTGAACCTGTGGCTGGCTTCAAAGACTGCCCCAAACCAATGCCAGTGCAGAAGGTCAGAGGAGGTCACAGCTGAATTGGCCAGTGGCTACCCAGAGGTACAAGAGGGGGCAGTGGTGGAGGGCCAGTGCTAGGCCCATGTTTCTGGACTTCAGCTCCAGCATGGTGCCAGCCCTCACCACCCGCACCCCCCGCAGAAAATGGCTACTAGTGCTTCAGTGCTGTGAGGGCAGAGGCTCCTTAAGTGCCTGTGTCTAGTACCTCTTGGGCGTTCACTAACTCAACAACAGTTGAATGAATGGAATGCTCGGGCCTACAGGGCAGCAGCCCCTGACACCGCTGAGGGTGGGGTGGAGCACGTGTCCTCAGCCCAGTCTCTGGCAGTCCCTCAGAACCTGGAGCTCAGCCTCTACAGCCCTGGGGGTCTGCTAAGTACTCAGTTTGCAGGTCCAGGTCCCAGGCTGGCACCTGCATAGAAAGGCCACGGGGATATAGGTGACCTGCCCCTTGGTACAATCCTCTTCCCTTCACCCATCAGAAGGGTCCCTGAACTTCCTTCAACCTCTATTAGCATCTCCAGGGGGCAAAGCATCCCTGTGGCTAATTGGTTAACTGCTCAGGAAGTCTGGAATGGTCCCTCCATTTCACTAGCTGAACGACCTACCATTCCTGGGTCTCAGCTTCCCTCTCTGTAAAAGGGGATGGATGTTGAGAGTTAACTGGATGAAGTGCTTGGCACACAGCCTGACACACAAAACAGTCTCAAAACAATGGTGGCTCCTATTGTTATTAACATCTTGGTGATTCCGGAAGGAAGGCAGCACTGGGCGAGGGGCCAAGGGAGTTAGGAGAGACTTGCCGGGATGCCTCAGGGACCAGCTGCCACCCAGGCCCCCATAAGCAGTTGGACAGCTTCCACCTCCTTGCCCTGGCTCTGCCTCACCCCTCCCACTCGCTCCAAGCCCCCTGCTGAGACCCCATCCTGCCTGGCTGGCCTGGGCCCCCTGCCCCCTGCCAGCCTTCCATGCCCCACCTTCACCCACAGGCTCTGCCAGTCAAACTGGTCTCCACACCCAGTCCTGCAGCCCACGGGTCCAAGCTTCAGGCCTCTGCACCCTTCTCCCCTGTAATTCAGCAACCTCTTTTTGGGCTCCCCCGCTCCCCAGTCCAAATTGCTCTTGAGCCTCTTGCTGCTCAGGGAACACTTTATCAAGCCATCTCCCTGGGATGTTTACTCTCTCCTGGCACTGGGGGCCTCCATTCCAGCTCCCAGAGGCTCAGCCCACCCAGTACTTCCCTGGGGGCCTAGGGGTCTGCCTGCCTGATTAATGAGGCTCCATGGCAACCAGGGCCTGTGAGGGTGGAGGGTGGCAGATGGAAGGACAGGCAGAGGGAGGGGATCAGCAGCTGGCCCAGCCACCCCGCCCCTGCAGAGAAGGCCTCCCAGCCAGGAGGCCTGTCCCCAGAGGCCCAGAGGCCCAGGCCTGCACCTGGCAGTGGAGGCTCTAGGGAGGAAGGAGGGTCTCCTCAATGACTCAACAGTCTGGCCCCAGGACACCCCCTCTTCACCTCCCCAAGGAGCCATCCCCACTACCCTGCCACGAGTTCTGGTCTGGAGCCAGCAGGCTTCAGTTCAAATCCCAGCCCCACCACTTGCAGCCGTATGACCGGGGGCAAGTCACTTCCCCTCTCTGGGCCTCAGTTCAGATGGGCACAGTGACAACACTGAGCTCACAGCATGGTTGTGAGTTTTAGCTGGCTCAAAGTCTGCCAGAGACCTGGCATGCATGCAACGCCAACTTAATACACGTGGGCCATTATTACCACTGATTCTGACCCTCAAGCGGCTCTGGGAAGCTGAGGCCCGCAGCAGAGGAGCAAACAGGGACTGGCCCGAGGTCACCCCGCACCCTGGGGCGGGGCCTTGAGGCCCCACCCAGGCTCGGTCCCGCCCAGCCCGGGAGCTTCGGCCCACCCCCCCTCCCCCGCCCCTGTTGCCTCCGGGCCAAAAAGCGCGCCCCGCCCGGGTCTGCAAGGGGGTCCCGACGCGCACACGGCCCGAGGTCCCTGCTGTCCGTACCGGCGGGCGGCCGAGCGCAGGGCGCGGCGCGCTGGGTGTGGGCCGGGGCGCCTGCGGCGTGGCGAAGAGCAGCAGGTCGGGGTCGCGGGGGCCGGCAGCGGGCGCGGCGGGGGCCGGCGGGGCGCTGGCGTCCTGCGCGGTGGAGATGATGACGATCTGCGAGGAGTCGAGCAGCCGCAGCGCGCCGGCCCCGAGCAGGGCCTCCAGTGCCGGCGCGCATGGGCCGCCTGCGGGGGCCACGGCCATGGCGCTCACGGCCCGCGCGGCCCGGGTGGCAGGCGGCGGCGGCGGCGCGGGCCCATGGCGGCAGGCCGCGGCGAGGGCTCGATCCCGCTCCGCCCCCGGCCGCCGCTGCCTGCAAAGTCCCGGCCACTTTTACGCGCCAAATCCTTTTTGCCGCGAAAGAGCCACGAGCCGCCGAGCGCTCTCACCATTGGCTGTCCAGACTGTGACGTAGGGGACGGCGACGGGGCCCATTGGCTGCAGCGCGCCGGACCGGCGGCAGTGGGCGGGTCGGGGCGTCGGCGCGAGGAGGCGCGGCCAATCGCGGCACCGGGCGCGCGCAGGCTTTGTCGGGGCGGTGCCGGGCGATTTCGCACTCCCCGCCCCCAGCCGGGACTGTCCCTACCCGAGGCGTGGTGGCCCCGCTCCCACCCCGACGCACCGCATCCTGCTGATATGTGGAGACCTTTAGGGCAGAGGGTCCATTCTGCACTTCACACCATACGCAGACCTCACGTGACCCCTAGACTCCGCCACCTGTAGCCCCAACAACCTCAGTTCGGATCGCTAGAAACTGCCCTTCCTCTTTTCTAAGTCCAGCCCCACCTCCAAAGCCCCAGCTGCGGCTCACATCCTCAACTTGCCCCACCTATACCGTTTACTTTCAAATCCTGCACCTGCCTTGTCCCTCTGCCCCTGAGCCTGAGCAGAAGGGGACTGCTAGGAAGTGGGGAGGGACATCTGGCCCAATACAGCGTGGGGCTTTCCTGTAAGCCCCCTTTTAGCCGGAATCTCTTCAATAGTCAATGCACAGCATCTGCTTGAACTCATTCATTTCACCCATTTATTCAGCAAACGTTTTGAGAGCCTGCTCTGTGCCCCATTCTTAATTCAGACCTTGAAGAGCTCGGTTTAGTGAAAAGAGGAACAGAGATAACAAATGTTTGGAATATGATGAGGAATTTCCACCATTAACTCCATGTTAGAACTCACAAAGGGAAGAGGTGAGGGTGCTGAGCATGAAAATGCATTTAATCCAGAGGCCCTGGGACCTCTCCATCAGCCATTTCTCATTGCTCAGGTCAGCTGATTTGACCAATATTGTCCTCTCTGTGCCAGGCCTTGTGCCAGCTCTGAGGGCAGAGATGTGAGACTTGATCATTTCTATGAACTTGCCTGCCATCTGGTGGGGATGATCCAAAGGGAAAAAAATAAAAAAATAAAGAAAAAGAAGCTAATACACAAACAAGGATCATATCCCTAGGGCAAGAATAAACACGACTTCCTCCAGAGAGCCCTCCAGGGTTGTAATTACTCACTTCCTCCATTGCTCAAGGCTGCCTCTGTTCCAACACTGACCACACATTCAGTTGCTCCATCTGCCTCTCCTATCAGACTGGGAGCTCCAACAGGGCCTCCTCCCGACACTGGTCTGGCCCAGAACAGGTGCTGAGAAAGGTTAGGAAAGGAACAGACTACTGGCTGAGGCTACACAGAGTACAGCATGGAGGCCCTGGGTCTCTAAAAGGAGTCCTCAGCACCCGGCTTCAGAATCACCTGGGCACTGGTTAACTTTGGGTCCACCCAGCCTTGCCAATTTAGAATTTCTAAGTGCTCAGGAATCTCTATTTTCACCATCAGTCCCCTACCCACCCCGCCCCCCAATGCTAGATGATTTTTATGCAGGTTCACATTTGAGAACAAACAGTATACCAGTATAACCAAAATGTGTAGTGTAGCCTTGAATTATAGTCCCTTGAGGACAATTCTCAGCTCCAGTTTCCTCATCTGTAAAATGGGCACATTGCCCTGGCCCTTCCTTGGTTGCCATCAGGATAAAAAAAAAAACATAGGGGATCTACTATAAGTGTTCCCTAAACTATGAGGTGATTTAGGAAAGCAGCAGGAGTTTCCAAAGCAGTTTTTGAAATTACTCATTGTAGGAGGCACCTGGGTGGCTCAGTTGGTTAAACATCTGACTCTTGATTTCAGTTCAGGTCATGATCTCAGGGTCGTGCGTGAGATCTAGCCCTGTGTCGGGCTCTGCACTGGGCATGAAGCCTGCTTGGGATTCTCTCTCTCCCTCTCCCTCTGCCCCTCCCCATCCTGAGCTCTTTCTCTGAAGAAAAGAAAGAAAGAAATTTCTTGTTGTAAATCCTAGGCTGTCAGCACTAGAAGGGACCAGAGAGACTGTAAGCCTCTTGCTATAGAGATGGGAAAATTGAGGCCCATTCAAAAGTAGGGACCTGTGAGGTTAACCAGTGATAGAATCTGGCCTACACTGGATACTCAGGCATGGGGCTAGCCTGTCCCTCTTCTCCCCAGATAGAGAAGCCACCATTATTAGAATGGTAGGTCTCATTTGAAATAATCAAGCCAGACTCTGAAGGAGAATAGAGAAGCCAGCAACATTCCCATTCCAGGTGGAGCTTCCTTTCTCTGTATCTTCCCAAAGGGTCTCAATAATGCTAACATTTGCTTCGTAAAGTACTCTCAGACCCCATAGTCATTCAACAAACAAGTTATTGAGCACCTGTCTTCTGCCAAGCACTGTACTGGTTGCTGGAGAAGGAAGATAGATATGGCTGTTATTGCCCCATTGATGAGAAAGCTGAGGCCCAAAGGGCATGAGCTTACCTAGCAGATGAAAAGACTATTATTCATGCTTGCTGGAAGTCAGAGCTAGGGGTTTACCAAAGCCCTGGCCTCCCCAAAATATTCAGGTACCCAGCCTCCCAGGTAGAAGCAGGTGCCTTTCTTCCCACAATCCCTCCTGTCCTGCTGCAGCAGAAAGGAGTGAAGACCAGAATTCCCAGTGTGAAATCAAGAAAGAGATAAGAGCCTTCTGTATCTATTAATACCCACTTGAAAGCAGCAAAGGCCTGAAAGATGGGGCCCCTTGGCCTCAAGCCTGGGAGATACTGATAAGGCTGTTCTCAACATCAACAGTGCTCTTCAGGCTGGTAGGCTTCCAAAAACTCCACAGTTACTGGGCAGCCACTTCCAGGGATAATCTCTTTTCAACCATTAATCCCCTAGGTGAAGATTGTTTATCCACATGGTGCAGGAAGAAGGGGGGCACTTGCAGCTTAAGGTCAGAGGGCAGAAAGGAGATGGGAACTTAGCCGGTTCCACTGCCAAGCCCTAGTGCCTGCCCTTCATACCTCATCACTCCCTGTAAATACCCCAAGAGCCAGGCTCAGGGCTGTCAAGATTATAATGTGTGGTTCCCAAAAGCTAATATGATGGATAGCGGCTTAATTGGTAGGTGTTCACCCCATCACCACTTCCACCAACATCTAACTCTAGAGGAGGAGTCCGAAGCGGTGGAAGCTCCTGGGGCTACCACCATCCTCAGTGTGGAGATATCTTTCCCTTGAATTATTCCCAGAAGCAGGATTGTGTGGAACTGATAGGAAGAGCTTCTGAATTAGATGGCTCTAAATGGGAACCTCGGTCTGTGTGACCTTGGACAAGTCAATTCATTTCTTGAATCTCATTCAATCCACAGATATTTATTAATTGTGTCAGACATTGTGCTGGGTGCTGGGGAGACAGCTGGATGCAAAACAGACCCCCTCTCTGATACCTGCAGCTCACAGTCCAGCGGGAGAGTCAGAATTATTTACATGAACCTGCACAATAGGCTCATTAAGAATTTTGACCAAGGGTTACCTGGGTGGCTCAGCCATTAAGCATCTGCCTTTGGCTCAGGTCATAATCCCAGGGTCTTGGGAGCATCTGCCTTCAGGTCATGATCCTGGGGTCCTGGGATCGAGCCTCACATCGGGCTCCCTGCTCAGCGAGAAGCCTGCTTCTCCCTCTCCCATTCCCCCTGCTTGTGTTTCCTCTCTCATTGTGTCTCTTTCTGTCAAATAAATAAAATCTTAAAAAAAAAAAAAGTTTGACCTTCCCCCCTAAAAAATGTTAGACAGACGACACAAATAATTCAAGCTTATTTTTTCCACATATACCACCTTGATGAAGCATACATTCTTACATCTAAAAAAAAATTTAAAAAAAAATCTCCAAACATGAACATCCCATCATTATAAAGACTGCATCATTGGAAGAAATGATTCTGTGGTGACTTAATTTTATTAAGGGGCACAGCAACATCCACTGTTGCGTTCTGGCAGAGGGAGGCAGGGAGTTTTATGTCTGCAGCGTGGCATTGGTCTCAAATGGTCCTCATTGCTACACTGAATTCTCTGACTGACACTTCGCTGCCCCTGGAGATGTCCTGTCACTGTGCCAGTTCTGGCTATGTCTTCACATTGGTCTCTTACCCATCTGAGAGGCCATCAAACAGGAGCAAGCTTGGGAATCGGGCTGACCCCAGCTCTGTGCTTTGGCTAGATGACCTTGAGTAGGGGATTCACACTCTTGAAGGGCTTGGCTTACCCCATCTGTACAAAGGTCAAAGTCTCCTTTATAGGATGTGTGTCAGGCTAAAATGAGAAAACAAGATTTGCAAACTGTCCCGCAGGTATGATTTCATTTGCCCACGAAGGTTTGTTTTTTTTTTCCCTGAATTGTGAACTAGCTTAAAATTTTCTTAAATTGGGAAATGTTATATAAAATTTTGAATATTTAGCTTTCCTTTAAAACAGCACTAGCCAGGCCATCGTGGTGCTGAACGGTTGCTGTCCCCCACTGAGCCAGTGGCCCTCAGTGGCCTTCCTTGTCCTGCTACTCCAGGGATCTAAGTTCATGATCCCTGATGCCTGTGCCTGGCACAGAGTAAGCACCCTTTAAATGTTAACTATTACTAGTGATATTCTTACTGCTGAGGAACCAACCAGCACCTGCGCAGCTCCTCCGTTTTGCAGGCAACTAAAGAGAGGACGTGAGCAAGGAAGAGTAGAAAAAGTGGGGCTTTCGTGGTGAAACAGGAGACATGGGGCTTGGTGCCAGCTAACAGCTGCCTTGCTGTGTGGCCTTGGCTAAGTCCTTGGCCATCAATCGGTCCACGTGGTTAGTAGGGTATGGGCCGGAGGGTCCAGGGTATGGCCTCAGTTACAGGTCTCAGATCCACAAGCCA